CCTTCCTGTCCTTACTTCCTGATTGGCAGCATGGTGAGACGTCTTCCTGTCCCTTTCCTGTCTCCTTCCTGTCCTTACTTCCTGATTGGCAGCTTGGGGAGACTTCTTCCTGTCCCTTTCCTGTCCTCACACTGCAGCTGACTAGACTGTCCTGGTTCTGAACTAAAGAAAATGTCCACAAAAGGAACATTAATGTAATTCTGACATTTGTCGTGTCTCAGACCTCTCCAGGACGAGTGGACAGGTGGACATGTCTCATATGATGTATTTATTAAGTGTTGACGTGACGTTAGCAGACCTCACAACCCGGTTGGTGTTTCCTTCTCAGAGAGGCTGCAGCGACCTTCTGAAGGGCGACACGCGAGCAACCAGAACCAACATGACCCAACAGAACTACCAGGAGATCTTCTGCTCCAACATGATGAAGGCCAACCAGCTCATCATCAGCGACGGTTTGACGGAGCACACGGCGGACATCTTCACAGAGAACAGTGAGTGTCCAGAGACAAAGACCTCACTGTGAGCTTCCCACACTCAGACATGACCAAGTCGTACCTCCAACCCATCCCACAGCTCTGGTCACTACATACTCAGACCTTTGAGAACAAAGGTCTCCTCATACACCCTTTGCACCTGCCTCAGCTTGCTTAGTACTCACTTTTACCTACTTTGTACCCACCTTGGCAATCAACCCAACACCAGTGATTGAATCTGCAGAACAGGAAACAGATGTGGAGCAGTTGTTGAATAATACTGTTGATCCTGTGAGCAATGCATGGAGACATGCTAATGGGAGACATGCTAACGGGAGCCCTTTGGGTGGGGAGTGTGACCGTTTTGTACCCCATTGGTATGAAATGTTTATGGCTGAGTACAAAGTGGGGTTAAGGTTTTGTCAGCCATCTGACCACGGCGTCCTTCCGGTTCTTTTGTTCCCAGGTGGAGAGGAAACTCACACAAACTCAATAAAATCAATAAAATGATTTTAGAGAGTCTCTGACTCTTTAAAATCAGGAGAGGTAAATTATTTTTACCATTTAATGTCGATAAGGCAGGAAAAGTTACAAGCTCAGCACTGAGGCATTTGTCCGACTCGTCACAACCCGGAAGTGGAAGCGGGGGCCCCATGCAACAGAACGTCCCAGTTTATGTTGGCCTTTGGCTCCGCCTCCACACCCGGGGCGGGCACAGCCTATCAGAGTGTATCAGTGGGGTGACGTCATTGGTCTTATCTGTTTCTGATGGTGGATAATGGGTGATGTTCAAATCTATAGAAGTGTTGGAAGCAAGCAAACAAAAATCAGGTGATGACCCTGGGATCGCTCATTGTGAGCAGCTGAGACCGGTCTGATCTGGTCCAAACCAGGTTATGAGTCAGAGTAGACCAGACTGGCCTCCAGCAAGGTTAAACTTCCAACAGTTTGGCAGCAGGGCCAGATTAAGACTTCGCTGTAACCTGGGCAACAATCGTCAAGGGCCCCATCATCACGACCCCAGAATCACCATAATCTGGCAAAATACAGAATAAATTACCATAATATACAGTAAATATACTTAAAATTCTAACTATCAAGAGTATTTTTATGTATAAAACTCCAAATGCTCATCATCCTCCCCCAGAAAATTTTGAATAAAGTAGACGCCATTTCCTGCATTCTGGTGTATTTTAATGGTTGTTTAACATCTAGTTTTACCTACATAAGTAAACACATGGAACACCTTGGGATTCCCCTGGAGGAGCTGGTCCAAGTGTCTGGGGAGAGGGAAGTCTGGGCGTCCCTACTGAGGCTGCTACCCCCGTGGATGGATGGAAGTAAACACTTGATTCAGTAACTATTTTAGAGCTAATGGCACAACAAGAAGTAACCTGACCAACAGCTGATTTAATGAATTAGAAATATTATAAATTCAAAGGTGACGATTTGATGCCCACATTAAAATTAAATGTCTGTAACTTAGTTGACTTCAAATGCAACAAGATGATCAATGAATGTTTGTGACAAAGGATTTATTGATTATAACAAAGATTCCTTCAAGAAACCTCCCAGTATAAATCATAAAACCATAATGTCTTCTGCTCATTCTAAATTTGTCAAATGGCCTAAATCTCCTAAACTCAATTCAATTCAATTCAAAAATACTTTATTAATCCCAGAGGGAAATTATTTGTTATTGTAACTCGTTATCCTCATTTCATTAAGATATGTTATAGATACTGATGGCTGTAGGCAGGAAGGATCTCTTGTAAAGGTCCATCCCACAGTGGATTCTAAGAAACTGGCTGCAGATGCCGTTCGATCCGTCCACCCAGACTCGGCTGGCCTCTTGGTTCCCCCGGTCTGTAGGACCGCCCAAATGCCGGGCAGAACTCCTCCCAGAGCGATGGCCACTCCTCTCAGCAGTCCGCCGAGCTCCCCATAGCTGCGGACAGCCAACTGTAAGCGCCGAGGGACGATCCTGTCCTTCCGCTGTCATGAGCCGTGTTTCCTGCTAGTTCCAGGATCTCAGTGGTCAGGCACTCGAGCACAGCTGGCAGGTAGATGAGAATGCGTCCACAGAACATCCTTTTCAACTCATTTGAGAGTTGGAGCTGTAGTTGAGATATTATTTGAGCTTTTGAGATGTTAATCAGCTGCTGTTGTTGTAGAAAACCGCCTTGTTGCCATGGTTACGCATCATAACAAATGTCCAAAACCAAAGTGAAGGAGAATCATTTTGAAATAATAAATAAGATATATCCTGTAGCCATGTTTCTGCGAAGAAGATTTAAATTTGATGTTGATTTGTGTGTCTTCTGTAAATCAGAAGATAAATCCCTGGAGCAAGTTTTTTTTTTATGTCAATACAAAGTGTTTGGTCAGACATCAGAAACTGGATTAATTTCAAACTTAACATTCCTTCTTTTGATGCTGATGCCAGTTTACTTTATGTGGATAACTTAAGCTCAGCTTTCTCTGATGCCATAAATATAGTCGTACCTATAGCAAAGTATCACATTCACTGTAGGTAAGGGGCGTTTACCTTCAGGACAAATTGAGGTTCTCGATTTGTCAGTTACTGACACGCCTTCTGAGTTGATTGTCATGTTGCGCAGTCGAGGATCCGATTGAAAAAAAACAACATAAAAACAGCTGCAGCAGTCACGCTGGGAGGAGGCGGGGCGGCCCAAATGCAGCAGAAGCTCAGCGATCTGTGCAGCGCAGCGCTCCAAGTAAAGCAAGAGATAACCAGATACTTTGCTTGTGCCCTCACTGCCCTGGGCCCTTTAGAGATCATGAGCCCCTGGGCAGTTGCCCAGTTGCCCATATGGTTAATCCGGCCTTGTTTGGCAGAGGTAGGATATGACCAGCACCTATTCAGAGTGGGGGGGATGTGCTCCCTCTTTTGAGCTTCTAACTGGAGTTCAAAAGAGGGAGCACATCCCCCCCACTCTGGCTTCACTCCAGTGGCTGCCTGTTCATTTTAGAGTTCATTTTAAGATTCTTTTATTTGTTTTTAAAAGTTGAAATGGTCTTGCTCCATCCTACCTCTCTGAGCTGCTTCACCCGTACTCTCCTGCTCCGTGCCTCAGATCAGTTGATCAGCTGCTCCTGGAGGGGCCGAGGTCTAAGCGGAGGCTCAGAGGGGACATAGCTTTTTCTGTTGCTGCTCCGACTGTGGAACGATCTCCCTCTTCCCATCAGACGAGCTCCTTCACTGTCCAGTTTTAAAACTCTTTTAAAAACACATTTTTACTCACTGGCTTTTAGCACATTGAATTTTGCTCTGCACTGTTTTTATTATTTTTTATTGATCTTAATGTTTTAACAACTGCTTTTATGTGTTTAAATGTTCTTGATTTTATATGTACAGCACTTTGTGGCAGCTGTGGTTGTTTTAAAGGGCTTTATAAATAAAGTATTATTATTATTATTATTATTATTCAGAGTTCATGAAAAATTAGATTTACAGTCCTGACCTGGACTCTTCAGGACTAACTGACCTGGACTCTGGTCCTGGTCCCTCCTGTCTGTTTGCAGTCCTGATTTGTGGACTGGCTGGTTTCTGGGACTTCTACAAAGCTGACTGGCTGCAGCACATCCTCAGAATGCAGGACGAGGAGGTCGGCTGCTTCGGGAGGGACAGTGAGTACCGTGAATTATTACCATGTTGTAGACACAGTCAGTGTTCTGGTCCAAATGTTTACGGGTCAGAACCAGAACCACATCAAAAGGATCAACGATGAGAGAGGAGTGTTTTCTTTCTCTTCAGTGAACGTCGTCTCTCAGATTATTGGAGATGAGCTGCTGGAGCAGCTGCAGCCTCACAGGAGGGTGAAGAGGAGGGAGAAGGTCCTCCCAGGTCTGTGTAAGCTCTTCATCATCGTCATCGTCACAGACGTACTCGACCTTTTAACGTCAAACAGAGACAAAGTTTTTTGTTTTTAAACTGTTTCTACATCTTTGAGCTTTTCTTCGTTTGTTCCATGTGTTTATTTTCAGTTCTTTATTTTGACGGTTAAACTCGTTGCATTTCCAGACTCTTAAACGCTCACCTCCAAGGAAGGCGGGTGATCATGTAATCACTTGTGTCTATCTGTCTGTTAGTAAAATATCCGATGAAGCAGAGGATGTATTTTAATTAAACTCCATAAAAGAAATCATTGTCTGAACATTGACAACTGATTACCTTTTATAGTCAGTATAATTCAAAATGGCCACCACAGCTGATTCATCTTAGTGGTTTGAACTCCGTGAACGTTACAGATCCTGAGATCCCACCTGTGGTAGTAGCTGAGAGTCATCAGTTGTTGTTTACCTGAAGCCACCTGTTTGTTTGTGTTGTCCTCCAGACGGCTGCTCCAGTCACATGACAGCGGTGGCGGTGGGCGCTCTGGGAGGTTACCTGAACTTCCACCTGTCGGAGCAGGACATCACCAAGAGGCCGCTGTCCTGAGGCACAGGGAGCCTCCACAACCAGAACCTGAAGGACCCGTGGATCTGTAGGGAACACTGAAGCTGCACACGTCCTTAATCTGAACAAACCTGAATTATCAAACAAACTGATGAAATCATTTCAACAACTCAGATTACAGATCACAGGTTACAGATCACAGGTTACAGATCACAATTTACAGATCACAGATTACAGATCACAGTTTACAGGT